CTAACGACCGGAGAGGAGGAGGAAGAATCTCCGGGAACGTCGTTTAAGTCAAACTCAAGAGTTGTCGTGTTGCTGAAACGCGCCGTGACGGAGATGTGCGTAGGATAAGATAAGAGAGCTTCGTATTCGGCGACATGGGTCTCAAGTCCGAGGCTTTTGAAATGGCTTTGGACGTAGTTGAGAGTTTCTAAAGAGGGTTTAGTTCCGGCGAGGTGAGGATGACGGGTCAATTCTCGGAGGTAAGAGGAGATGGTGGCGTTTGAAGCAGAGGAGAGGAAGAGGCGGTGGAGACGGAGGGCATTATGGGAATTTCGAGAAAATAGAAGAGAATGAGTAACGGCGTCTGGGTGATGGAGAGTGTAGAAAGTGGCGACGAAAAGAACGATGACGAAGAGGAAAGTACAGAGCGGCGGCGGTTGTCGGAAAGGGAATATAGAGATTCCGGCGACGGCGGGTCTGGTGGTGAGAGGCTGTGACATTGGAGAGAGAGAGAGAGAGAGAGAGAGTAAATTGTTTAAGTAAGTATAGTGGCTGAGCCAAAGTATTTATTATGAATCATCCATCTTCTGTCTCTTTTTTATGTTTTTGTCTTCTTCGTCTTTATGAGTATCTTTGTCTTGGTCAAAACTCTGTTTATTTAATCTTCATTTCATCAACCTCCGAGAAAGAAAGAAGAAAAAGACTAATTCTTTGTGTAATTACGAGAAATCAAACTAGTAGAATTTTAACAGAGTGATCAATCTAGGAAACTAAAATTTTAAAATCTTTTTCCTCCACTATATTACTTGAGCTTAAATGCTAGACATTATTATTAGAGAGTAGTGGCGACCAGTCGAATGATGAAAAGCTGAGAGAACCAAAAAAAAAAAAGAGTGTATTGTTTGATTTAGTAGTAGTGGGTGGCCAAAATACTATTTTTCATCGTTTAAGTATCATTTTCAGTTTCTGTTAACTCATTTTTATATTATTACTCGTGATGTATCATGTATCGGGTCGTATTTGACATATTCCATTTTGATTTATCAAACAATTAAACGATAGCATATTTCTCGTGATATTCTCCATTGTGATTATCATATGTTTTCCCTCAAATTTTCTACTGTCCTTATCATTAATTATTTAAAGTGAGGGCAACATTGAAGGACAAGAGGAGGCACGAGACTGAGAACTGTGTTGGAACCTTGAGATCAATAATTTTATCAATCTCTGTAATTGTAAATGCGTTAATGAACATTGTTTCATGGAGCATCCTCCAAACATGAATGCATTGATGAACTTGTTTCGTTTTGCATGATGTCCACGTATCTATTTTTTGAAGAAAAATAAAATGGGATTTACATTAACTAAAAATTATAGATTGAAAACAAAATAAAAAAACTTGCAACTATTTGAACAAATGATGAGCACGGAATAAAAATGATAACCATGAAAAGCTTTTGTCTTTATGCATTTGATTCATTTGGTCGGACCTATTGTCTTTATGCATACATACATAATACATTATAATCCACGCCGAATTGACTAGAAAAGGAAAAAAAAAAAACTTTATAAGAAAATGGAATTATCTCTAACTAGTATTTTTTATTATTCAGTATAGATTTTTTTTGTCGCCTAATTTAATTTAGACTTATAGACTATAATTCAATTCAATTGACCCAAATACAAATTTTGGTTCGTCAGTTTTGGTTCCTTCTATGTTTTATGGACAAAGTTTACTTTCGCAGGATTATCTAAGTAACCCCATCCATAAGATTATTTAACATCTAGGTAGTCGTCGACATGCTCTAGATATTTTACTAAGAAAATAAGATGTTTAAAATTTTAATGTACTTCTTCTAAAAGTGTGGGAATTTGATCGAATGATTGAGGTAATTATAGAAATCTGACAGCACTATCGTGAGAGATAGGGAGGACAAATCTAAGTGGGTCCTTCAACATATCTTTGTAGTGGACCTTCTTAAATATAATCCGAGTCATCATTCGGACAAGAAAATTCTAGGGACATTGGAAGTGTTGGGTTTAGACAATAGACTTCTATAAATCTGGTAGATAAAAGTTGGCTCCGAATGGAGAAAGCGTATCGAGCGGAGCGGATCAAGCGGTACAAGCATATCAAGCAGAATAAAAGTGGATCAAGTAGATCTAGCGGTACAAGTGCAGATCAAGCGGTTCGAACACTTCAAAATATGTGTTGAATGGTGAAAATAGATCAGACAGTACAGATGAAATAATTATATTATAAAAAATATTAATTTCAAAAAAATGTTTTACATACACTATACATACTAAATAATTATATTACAATAACTTTACAATACTTTTTCATATTCTTGAAGATGTATTTTAAAATATCTATTAAGTATTAAGTATTTATAAGTATCATGATATTTTTTATTATTCTTTCTATAAATAACTAATATTTCTGGATATATAATTCTATTTCGGATATTCTTGGGTATCCGAAATATTTCGGTTTCGATTCTTTTGGTTCTAAAATTTAGTATCTATTCGGGTGTTTTCAAATTTTTGGTTCGGTTTGGTTTGGTTCTTTTTGCTTCGGTTCCGATTCGGTACATTCAGTTCGGGTTAATTTGTCCAGGCCTATATATAATACTTGGAGAGAGACTTGATCCAAATATTTCTCAAATTTTATAAAGTAACTATAGTGTTTAAGAAGATATTTATAAGATTTTACAAGACATTTATAGAGTTTTACAATGTATTTATAAGATATTAATTACTAAGATATTTATAAGGTTTTACACATGTATAAAAATTGTTTGTATATATATATTTTTAAAGATTTTAGAGATGAGACATTTTTAAAAAGTAATATTAGAAAATAGGCATTTTGAAATTGTCCCTAAATTAAATTATAGAATTAGATTAGAATTTGCTTCTTAGTTTAGAAGTATTAATTTATAAGTAAAAGAAATGTAGTTATTCATACAATTTTAAGTGTTTTTCCAAAAATTTAACATTAAAATAATATTAAATAGTTGTAGTTGTGGTCCGAACACACCTTATTATTGGCGTTTCACGGATCATGTACAGATCTTCAAATTTGTTCACAAACTTTGAACCACAAGTGGTTCAACATTTCTCTTTAATATTTTAATGAAGAACCACTTTGGTTTTTAATTATCGTTGAATGGAAGCATAATGCGTTTCATCCGTTCTGAGTGTACCATCTGTCTTTTAAACGCTACTCCATTCAAGCCCGTTATCAAAAAAAATCTGGTAGGCAACAAAAAAAAACTACCTCAAATTTGTTTCTTTGTTCAATCAAAATCCATACAAAACTATTAAAATTATTAGCAAATATTATTTTTATAATACTTCCAAACTCTTGCAACACTCTAGCAGATTTTTTAAAGTATAATGTCTTACTCATCACCAATTGAGTGAACTTCTTGTAAAAAAAATTGAAACATCCAAACAAAGTTTTGTAAAGTATCCGAATCAATTGAGTAGACTTTACTATAGAGGTCTTGAAACAATTAAGCATACTTAGTAAAAGTTGGTGTTGTCCTCTTAAATAATTGAGCACTCTTCATGAGATGTATGCTCTGAAGAAGCACTTGCTTAGAAGTGCATCTTTTAAAGTGATGTTTTAATTTTGCAGTTCTCTGCTTACAAGTGTACAAAGGAAAAAAAAAAAGAATTCAAATATAATAAATTAATAACTAGTGGACATAAAATTATGGGTTGGAATCTTGGAAGCTAACAATTTAGCGAGGAGAGTAGAGGGCTAATGTTTTGGGCCAAAAAATTCTAAAAGCCCAAGAGACGAAAAACAAATGTTCAAAGCTAAACAATGTACTGAAAAAAAGAGAGTAAATGGAATGGGCCTCTAGTTGCAAATGCTTTATTATGTTTCTCACTTTCTCTGACCAACCAAAGTAAAAGAAGCCATTTGCATAATTGCATTTATACTAAGACAAGAAAAAAAACCAATTTTTGATGAAAAAAAAAAAAAAAGAAAAAAAACCAATTTTCTGCATCAAACGGTAGCAGAAAGAGCAGCTTAATAGCAAATCATCCGGAAGGGACGGATTTGGGGTCGGTTGCGGCGTGAGTAAGAGCACCTGAAGCGAGAGTTGCTCCGTAGACATCATCTTGTTCTCTGTGGACGACATTACAGGAGCTTGATTAGTGAACTACTACTGCAGATAACAAATGCAGAGGAGAATTTAATATTCATTTAGGGACTTCAACTTTGACCACCAGAGTCAACTTTACTATTGAGCGGGAGAATATAGTCCACAAAATTGAAAGAGGACTAATTCAATTGTGGGCTCAATTTAATATTTTAGAGATAGTAACACAGAATCTTTTATTTTAAGGTCTTTTGATTGAGAAACCTTAAATTAACATGACCACAATCTCATTTCTTAATTTTCATTTTTCTTTCCTTTTGTATTTAATTTTTTCTTTATTATTTTTAATTTTTTCTAAAACTATTTAATGATCTTTGAAAAATAATCACGTGTTATAACCAACTCTATTTAATTTCTGTCACACTTAAAATTTAAAAGACTGACACCAAATCCATGTGAGCCAAAAATACAATAAACCAATGAAAAATATATCTTACCCAATTGACAAATGTCATGTAAAGTGTTTTTATTTTACCCTTATTTATGTAAAGTGTTTATATATCTTACCCTTATTTATGTAAAGTGTTTTTATTTTTTTCTCTAGCAACCATATTTGTGCCTTTATAAAATAAATACTGAATATATATATATATATATATATATGTATGTTGAAGAAAACAAACCGAATGAATAATCAAAATTACTGAGGTTTGATAAGATGACCAAAACATATTATCAAAGGTGGATTGAAATTTCTGTTTATGATATTGCTTAGTTTTTGAGACTTTTAGTAGTTCAGGTGGGTACATCAGTAGAGTTGGTAAAACATTTTGATTCTAATTAGAAATCAAAACTTGTTAAGGTAGGATTTTAAATTTATAACTATGCCCATATGATTTACTATTTATTAATTGATTTAGCTTTTGCTTTTTCTCCTCAAAAAAGGGGAAATTTATTTCATATGATAATAGCTGGTCTCTGTGGGCACGTAGCCCAAGAACTTTGACATACGCTCCGATAAAGGAGGGAGAGAGACACGAGGAAGAGGAAGAGGAAGAGGAAGATGAGAAGACAATATTATCCTCCTAAATTCTCTCTCTTTTCTCTTCTTCTTTCGTAGGATTATCAACATCTTCCTTTTCTCCCTCCGGAAAATCCCGCCGTTTCTTACATTTTCCTCTGTTTTTTTCCCGGGAAACAGAAGGAAAATTTCATTTTTTTTCTTTTTTTTCCCGGAAGGAGAGATCTTTGTGAATTAGGTAGCTGCCCACATCTTTTAAGTCTTGTCTCGAGGTTTAAAGATTATATTTTTTCTTGAAATTATACCTTTTTTCTTGCTTTGTTTTAACGGCCTGGTTACAGGGCTTCATTGTTGTGGTTAATTCAATTGGAGAATGCAACAAAGGTTACTGCTTTTATTAGATTCTAAAGCTAGGGTTTTTGGGAACGTGCTTAATCTGTCTCTGTCTCAGCATTTGAGATTGGTTTTTTTGGGTATAACCTATTATGGATTCAGAATTGAGATTTCCTTCAAGAGATGTTGTGAATTGCTGTGAATTTGGTTGTGATTATTCACTTGGGGCATGTTCTTCAGATCCTTGGGCTAGGACGGTGAAAAGAAAGTTCAACGAATTCAAAGAAGGGAACATTATGTTGTTACGAGGTTCTTCTGATTCATCTTCAAACGCTAAGATACTAGTTGAGAATGAATGTGCAGCTTTACTTGAGGCTCTTTCTAGCCAAAGGAAAACAGTTAAAGATCTTCATTTAGAGCTTGAAGAGGAGAGAAATGCTGCTGCATCTGCAGCGAATGAGACTATGTCGATGATACTTAGGTTGCAGAGAGAAAAGGCTGAGATTCAGATGGAAGCTCGGCAATTCAAAGTGTTTGCTGAGGAGAAAATGACGCATGACCAAGAAAAGCTCTCGGTTTTGGAGAATTTGTTGTATGAGAAAGAACAAGCTATTGAGGCCTTGACTTATGAGGTCGAAGCATACAAGCATAGATTGTTGAGCTATGGAGTCTCTGAAGCTGAGATACATGATCAGATACTTGGTTTTGGCAGAGACTCGAGCACGGTTGGTTTTGATGTTTACCCGTGCGAGTATACTTCTTTGCAATGTAGTGTGGATGAGAACCCGTGTGAACCAGATGGTAATGTTGATATTGAAGAAAAGGTGATAGTTGGTCAGTCTCCAAGATGGCCATATTATGATCCCAATTCGCCTTTAGGAACTGCAAAAGATATAAAGGGGACATCTTTCGCAGACTCTCCTATGTCTAGTAGTAGCGACAGAGTTTATACTATCGACTCAATCCATGTGGGAGTTTCTGAAGTTAAGATTGACGACGAGCCTAATAAGATGAGTAAGGGAAAGTTAAATGGTGATCTCTGGAACTCTCCGAGATACCAAGAACCGTTCACGACTCAGCAAGGAGTTAACGAGCCAGATATAGAGAAGCTTTACACAAGGCTTCAAGCACTTGAAGCAGACAGGGAATCGTTGAGACAGATCATTGTGTCGATGCGGACAGACAAAGCTCAGTTGGTGTTGCTCAAAGAAATCGCACAGCATTTAACAAAGGAAACTGGCACAACAGGCAGGCGACACCCGGTTAGCAAAATGTCATCTTTTAAAGGATTCTCTGTAGTAACGGTCTTCAAGGTAAATAAATCAAAACAATCTCTCCTATCTAAATCTTACATGTTGCATACTGAAACTCTGTGTAAGCTTGAATTTTGCTTTCCCTTCATTCTCGTGTTTCAGTGGATTGTGTCTTTCGTTTCGTGGAAAAGGAAAGCCAGGCAAAACAAGTAAGGAGATTTACGAATTACAAGTCAAAAAGATTTGCTTTGGGTTTCACTCACATTCTGGCTGGTATTACTACTGTTTTCTGATGAAATCAATTATAAATTGCATTGCAGGTATGTTTATGAATTGTCAGCAAATAATATGGGGATGCTTATGATTCTAGGCGAGGGATCTGGAACTAGGAGATGGAGATGTTTAACGAGTTCACATGTCTAGATTTCCATTTTTTTATGAAGTTTCTTTGGCGTAGTTAGTGCAACACAAATGTACATTGCTCTGCACTTCAATCAATTATGTATGGATGGTTCAGAATCTGGTTGAATATGATAAAAAAATTCCTTTTCTTTTTTTTTTGGCTCTTGCATATCCTCAGGCCAAGATCATAACAGGGTATGAAAAAAACATTTACAATATGGATACGTTTAAAGATAGACGATTCATACCAACGTTTTTGTGCATTGCCATATTACCCTTCACATTACCATTGGGTCTATAACTTGATTTTGGGTACATTCATTTCATACATAATGATGAAAACCTGGAAAGAAAAACAGAGACAGATCACGAGGGAGACAGCGAAACCGTGTAAGACTTGTTGCAATACTTCAAGCTCTTTAGATGGCCTGATTGAAGCTGAGGGCAGATCACTGCTCCGGGAATGTCAGATGCATTGTCGTTTGTTTCTCCTGTGCCTTCTATGACTCGAGACTCCGGGTCTGTCTTCTCAGGGACTTGTGGTAGACCAATGTTTAAATTAAACGAGGTTGGCTCGGTCACAAAGCTGAATCAAACTCATCAAATGTTAGCATTTCCTAACAAAGACTGAAAGTTTTTGGTTTGGAAGAGAAGAGAAGAGATTTTGCATCAACGAACCTGGCTTCAAAGTTTTGTCCATTAGCACCCACATTTGCACATATATTGCTAATAATCCACGGCGGAAGATATTCACCTTTTATCTCAACCATGCAGCAACTTTTATGTTCTGTTCTTACCATCTCAGTGCATTTGATCTGGAGATCAAAGAAAAAATAACCTCAAAGTGTTATCATATAGAATAAGGATGTCACAGCAAGAGAACCACAGAGCAAAGCATTAAATGTGGAATATACCTCAGGAGAAGACAGTGCAGCATTCTGAAATGGCACTGGTGAATATAAAACAGGAACATCTGCGGTAGGAAGAAATTCAAAAGACGACCTACACATGATTGAGAAACAATGGTTATAATCATCATCAAAATTCATTAAGAAGATTTACATGTGCACGATATGTAATTTCTTTTCTAAAAGATGTTTATAATCACCTATAATTTAAGAGAAGATCATACAATCCATGTACGCTCTCATTTCCGACAAAAGCCAAGAAAGATTCTGGAGTATTATCAATGTTTGAGACGGAACGCGAACGACGAATCTGCACACATTACAAGGAGTCAGGAAAAACACACCAATAGTCTCTCGTATAAGCAGGTGCTTCACATGGTTAATAAGTCATAACAGTGAAAGAGTAGACATAAATATGTTTCCTGAATAGATAAGTAAACACGCACAAACCTGGCCAAGGTTATGATTCTCTATCTCTGAGAGTTCAGCAAGATCTTCAACAGTGGTCTGATCCATTTTAGTTTTGCAAAGAGGCATAGAGTAGCTGATGTCCTGTGAAACATAATCAAAGCAAACTTAGTAAAGTACGGATGAGAACGTATTGATAATGTTAGCACAAGTTTGCATAACATAGAGGAGAAGACAATGGATAATTCGATAGTTCTCTCCTGATGTCTCAAGGAATGCAAAACACAAACAATCTACGTAAATAAATAAGGTTAAATGCTTAACAATAGTGAGAGAACATATCTTACAAGATCGTTAAGCATGGCTCTCAATCTTCTAGTTGACTGGGTGATATAGCCATTGCATGAGCGTTTGACACCTCCTGACTCACAGCTTCCAGTGAACATTGCCACAAACTGAGAAGTACAGACTACAAGCCAAATAATGCACAATTAAATTTAGTTTCATTTATAGAGTACAGCATACATGTCATTTACAATACGAGAGATAGAACATGACAAAGAAGCTGTGCATGAAAGTTCACATTTGAATAGCACTAGAGGTTAACTTGACTTTGTTGCATCTTTGCCAAGACAAAAAAAAAAAAGTAAAAGCAAGGTTTATACCAACTTACCAAGTCCTTCTAAATGAAAGTGTTAGTGGTAAGGATATATGTGTCTGTGGAAAAAATTTCCACCTACATATATCTGTATTATAGTAAGTAAGCACTACAAATTTCCATTGCCATTGAAGTTCGTCTTTATTAACGAACTGTGTTATACCCAAAGAAAAGTCACATCCAAACCAGGCGAAGATAATATGAAATTACCATAAAATATTTTGCAGAGATTCTTCCGAAACATGAAATATAGACTTCGAAAAGCATCCTCCCATGCCAATTTTCGATTTTGTAGGAAATCAACTTCACCTAAGATAGCAAAATGAGCTTTATAAAATTCAGAAGGAAGATGACTGATAAATAGGTAAAACTTATGAATTCTCATTAACAAACCTCTGTCTGATCCAGATGCTACCAATGCCGATAAGACAAAAGGTGGCAAGGTAGACTGAGGATAAACCCACGAGTGTAGCGACATAGAATTTAACACTTGGGAAACCACAGCTGATCCAGAACCACTACTGTTATCTTGATTTACCACATTACACGACAGAGACTTCAGCTGTGGCATACCATTGTAGGTACTACCCATGATTGACCTATGTAACCTAGAACATTAGAATGGAAAAAAATAGACTGAATCAAACTTTGGATGCAAAGGAAACCACTAGTCAACAATAAGGTAAAGAAGAGAAGATAAAGGGAATACTTCTGTGTGATTACAAAACATATTTCATCTATCATCATCAATAAGTGGTATGTGTTAACTAATAGGAGATGTCAAGGAGGAATCACTCAGATTCAACTACAGCCATCATATGATTCTATCACACAATGTACAGGAATATCAGAAATAGCTCAACTCACCAACTTAATGGAGAAGAGGAGACAAGTCGAACATAAGTCTTCAAGGAAAGGTCCAGAGGGATCTTTTGCCCAGGAACTTGGAACTCAGACATGAAATTTCCACTTAATGAAGCAGAAGTATCATCTTTCACACTTATGTCGGCAGGATGAACCAGCAATGGTTCACAAGTGGCAAGTCCTTTCAATGCTTTGTTCTGTTGAAAGATGACATAAGTTTCAAAAGGACCAGATACATAACCATCTGAGGGTAGCAAAGACTATCTAGTGAAGCATACCATATCAATATCTGGCAAGCAGGATAATTCTTCACCCCTGGTTGAAAGTTCTGTGACACTGCGAAATATGCTCTGGCTACATCTCTCATTTGTTTGACGAGCTTCAGCCTTAATATCATCATAAACTTCAGTAGAAGCATTATTCTCCTCACTGCTAAGACATTAAAGCATTAACATAAGTAACAGCACATAAAGTCAGCTTACTCCAGATATAAATTGCCTGAGGGGTTTTACCGAATAAGTTGTCTTTTGGTGGCAGCAACATTCGAGAGTAAAGAAACATTGATTAGGCTGCTGGATTGCTTCGCACCATTTTCCTGTGTTAAAGACAGATAAACTAATAAGATAGATGCTTACTAAAGTTATAATTTATTCACAAAATCAAAGGAAACAGTATTAGAATCAGAGAGGTCATGAACCTTAGAGTTTTCTTTGGCAGAGAGCATCCAAGGCCTAGCCTTTTTGACAGGATACAGTTCATCCATACGCATCTCTATGTATTTTGGATTCTTCGAAAGCTCTTGTTTCTTGAGCCCATTATCTTTCTCAGCACTACTGCCAAGATAAATCTAGTAAGAAAAATATAAGTTGGAAAAAACTTGACGACATGATGATTTATATACCTTTTGCAAGGACGCAATGCATCAAAAGCTTCTTTAGCTTGGTCCACAAAAGCAGTCCGTTTCAATTGTTCTCCCTGTTCAGTGAGAAGGGTATTAGAATGAACAATCTTCAGAGATAACTTCCAATAACTCAACGGAAAAAAACATTGCAAGATGAAGAGAAAGAAACAAACTTACTCTCAGTTCAGAAGGCGTCTTCCTCTTAGCTTTTGGCGCAGCTTTGGACCCTCCAGTGGTCTGAAGAGAACTTCTAGGAGCAACTACTTTCACCATTTTCAAATGATACTGTTCGCTTGATCCCACAATACCAAATCTGAGGCACAATTTGGTATTTTATCAACCCATTCAAATTCCATTTACACAGCAAGATCATTTTCAATATTACAAATCAATTCGGTTCAGAAATCAAAAAGTTATCTACACAACCCTAAAGAAAATTACACTACGAACCCTAGAAACTGGTGAATAGCACCGGCGAAGACCTTACAAGCGAAAAATCCAAAATTACAAACATAAATCAGAGATGGAAACATACTCACTACGCTCGATGGTTAATCTCTTAGCGATGTAAAGAGAGAAACCCAGCGATAGCGAGATCGATGTCTCCGATTACGAGCTCGTCGTGGTGTGAATCGCCTCCACGGCGGAGCAGGCTAGGTTTTTTTTCATTATTCTCTCTTTTGTAAATTTTAGGGGAAACGAACAAAAATGGTGGACTGTGAGATTGGAGGGAAGAGGAAAGAGCGTGAAATCGGAAAGCTTTTCAAAAAATTTGGTCAAAATAATTTGGGATTCCCTCCTGTTAATGTTTTCGTAACAGTCAATCTAACGCCGTTACTTTCATAACGTTGACTAGTAAGCCATGGATTGGTTTGAGTTTTCCGGTTTATAAATGTGAAAACCGAACTGAAACAATAAACATTCGGTTTTTTTTTTTTTGTGTTTGGCTAATTTCGGCTTCAATCGGTTCAACCGGATTGAATTCCCTGTGTAAAATTAACCCAACTTGGTCGAATCATCTCACGCTTATTAGGCACCAAATTTAATGATCAAAATCACTTCAACAAACACTCTCCTAATTTCACTTGGTTTAAAAACAACAAATCAAATGTTATGCGACCAGAAAAAGAAAGAAAGTAGAAGATTAACCTCTCTAGCCTCGACAAATTACACATAACCAAGAACTCTTGTCTCTAGAAAAATACATGTTTTCATACTACACATCCTAAATGATCTCTCTGCCTAAAAGGTAACAAAACACACATGCAAGAGCCTCCAATCTCCATTGAGCCACTTCATTGTTTACTTCTCTTGATGCCCGCCGTTTGTTTTCACCTGAAACAAAAGATCACCCATTCTGTTTGAATCAAACAACATTTACAAACACAACAAGCAACGACATGGCTTCATC